GAAGTATGCCAAATAATGCAGCAAAAGCCCATATTTCTTCAAAAATTGTTTCTCTAGATCTTCGCACAATTCCTCCTCATAGCTCCATACGCCAATTCCAGAAAAACAGGCGACTGTGCAGCCAAAAATTAGTAAATTATTAACAAAGTCAAAGGACACATAAACCTGGCAATTCCGTCATAAATATCTCTACGGAAGCCATGGCCTCTTAAAGTGTTGAATCATGTTAATGTTGTTCACATGTGCATTTATTGAATAGGCATCTCTAACTCCTCAACTCGGAGAAATATGCATGATAGGCGGGAATACTGAAAATGAGCTAAGATTGTCTGAAAAAGCTTATGACATCCTTACTAATTTTTTGATTGCTGTTAGAAAATAAATTTTCCACAGACTAATCTTTGAACGGGACGTTGCCTGTTTCCTGTCATCAGCTAGCACAGTATACCAGAAACCATTTTTGCCTTTCGTGAAGCGTATGAGTTTAAATCATGTTTTGTCTTCGGGCTATCGAACCTATGCCCAGAAGCGACTTGCACATTGGTGGGCGAAAGCTAACTTCTTATGGACGAGAAGACAGGGACTAGCTCGAAGGTATGCAGGACTCAGAGAGACACTTAGATTGGCCATCACCAGTGTCTTAGTCTTAGCTCAAGATTTCATTGAGTGGTTTCATGAGCACACAATTCTGTACATGAGATTACGAGTGGCTTCGTACGGGAAACGAAATAGAAAGGTGCGGTATCGCAAAATGTCGATGTATGAAGCTTTTCTACACCAGCAAGGACAGCAGTACAGCTGTCTCAAAGTGCCAAAGAAGCAAAATTACTGGAGTTAACCTGAACGACTTACTAGCCTAAAGGTTGACACCGGAATGAAATTGTTTGAGTTATCAAGCTCTATGCATCACAAACTGGATGCGAAAAAGAGTCTGGCAAGAGCTGATGATAGTCTTAGATCCACACCACAGGTTGAGATAGCTCTGCTGGAGCGGATCCCAATGGTCATGTGGGAGAACGATTTATTGCAAG